CTAATCAGTTGTTGTATTCGAGTGTATTCGACTGTATTCATGAAGTGAAACATGGGATTACAGCTGGACAGATTATTGTATTCGACCGTATTCGACTGTATTCACGGTGTGAAATAGGGGATTACACTGTTTTTAAAACGGAAAGTGAATCAATTAACATAATAGACTCCTAATATAACTCAACAAACTAATTATAACACACAAAATTTGTATTTTCAGTTATAAAAAAGATTCTCAATCGAAAAATACCCCAAAAACACAGCAATCTTCAGAGAAATTATATAATACATCTGAATACATAAATTATATTAATTAAAAAAAACATTCATGGCATATAGCGAGACAGTGAATACAATGAAATACATAGAATATAGCCGGATACATTGAAATACAATGAAAAAAAAGACAGTGGATACAATAAAATACGTGGAATACAACGAGATACATTGAATTACAATGAAAAAAAGACAATGAATACAATGAAATACTTGAAAATACAACGTGATACATTGAAATATATTAACAGAAAATTCAAGTTGCTTAGCCCAAACTCCGTCATCTTTGTTCAAGAACAAACCCTAATTTCCGACGAATCCGCCGCCGTTCAAAAAATAGAGATAATATTCTAAGATTCAGGTCCTTCTCTTTACTAGTATTAAGATAAAAGAAAGAAAAAGAGAAAGTGGCAAAGGACCAACAGATAAGGCTGTTGGTGGGCCGGTCTGGGACCGGGACCGGACCGGGCCCGCGGTCCTAACGGGCTAAACGGTCCCGGCGGGCCGGTCCTGGTGGGCCGGTCCCTTAATGGGTAAGAAGCCCGTGACGGGCCGGTCTTGCTCGTGTAGCCCACGAGACCGGGACCGCTAAGCCCGGGACCGGCAGGCGGTCCTGGGCCGGTTCAACCGGGCCTAGCGGTCCTAACGGGCTCCAACGGCTAATTTTTAAAAAAAAAAAACTTTTTTTTTTAAAAAAATAGCCAACGGTCAGATTTTAAAATCTAGCCGTTGGCCTTTAATTTTCAACCGTTTGGAATTTTAAAAAATAGCCATTTGGCCCCCAAACTTTATTTTAACCCCAAACTTTATATAATTACACTTTTCCCCAATTCTCAACTATAAATACCCCCTCATTCTTTCATTTTTACTCACCAATTCATCAATCTATCTCAATCTCTC